GTGTTAAAAGGGAGTTTTTCCTTCCCACTGTCGCCAAGGTGCTTGCTCATAGCAGGTCATATGATTGTTGGGTTTTTCTCTGTATGTATTATTGTAGGGTCTACCTTAAAGTGCTTTGAGGCAACTGTTGTTGCGATTTGGCGCTGTATGAATTGAATTGAATTGATGTTAGGGTCATGTTAGCAGCATGCATGCTTTGACTGGCAGGGTGCGCCAACATGGGCAACTACAGCTGACAGCAGTGAGCTAGGTCTAACTTGCACTAGAGTAATTGAACTGGATCCCTCCTAACATATTTGTTGGTGCCTATTAGAGTGTTTTCAAATTGAATTGTCTGATCAATAACACAGTATGTCATCCTGTGAGGATGGAAATGAATTGAAATCTCCTGAAGTGGACTGTGTGTTCTGTGATTTTGGTGCCAGTTTATTTCTAATTATATTTATCTCTACTATTACTGGGGGGGAAACAAAATCAAAAATCATTCAGAAATCTTTCAGTTCATTAAATGAAAGTAAAACATTTGATATGGCGCGATCGTGGCTCAAGAGTTGGGAGTTCACCTTGTAATCGGAAGGTTGCCAGTTCGAGTCCCGGCTTAGACAGTCTCGGTCGTTGTGTCCTTGGGCAAGACACTTCGCCCGGTGGCGCCAGTGTCTGGCAGCCTCGCCTCTGTCAGGGTGGCTGTGGCTACAATGTAGCTTGCCATCACCTGTGTGTGAATGACTGGATGTGTAAAGTGCTTTGGGGTCCTTAGGGACTAGTAAAGCGCTATACAAATACTGGCGATTTAATAAATTATTGTCGAGTTATCTTAGTTATGTGTTTCAATAGATCTTACTTAAATCCTGTTCCATCTGGAAAAAACTGCACTGCCAAAACAAATCTTTTGAATTAGGGTCACAGGGTAACAATATACATTATATTTATAATGTGCTGACCATTACTTCCACCCCATAAAATGGCACAAAGCAATAAACTATAAAAAACTAATTAAACGCTGTGATTGCTCAGCACTTCATGTTCATGTATATCAGTTAAATTAAATAACTATCTGATCACAGAAAAAGTATAAATAACCCCAAGACAGACGGAGATCCAATTGTTAAAATTAAAAATGCCTTTACTAAAAAGGTATTTATATGCGTAACTGACAAGGAAAAAATATCCAAACATTTATACACATACAATCAAATATAAGACACACCTCGATTCTGTAGCAGTTATCTGACCCCTGATCAGTTTAGGGTTCTAATGATTTATATGAACAGTAATGCCAGATTACTCCAGCTAAAGCGTTATTCGGGTCCAGGTACATTACCACACCGGTCTGGACTTGAGGAGGGTTAAACCGGATAAGCATGGAGCCCATGGACACACAGAGATCTGCTATCCAGATAACACTGTGAGAGATGAATGAGCTGACTCTAAACCTCGTGTTGGAGCAAATTTCATCCCACAAGGGATTTGTAAAATTTATGATTGTAAATGGATTTGATGCTATATTCAGCTGCAAAATGCTATCAAACATAGTCCAAACACACAATTTACTTCAGATACTCTCGGTCTACTTTGAAGTAGACACTCACATCTATGTGGAGACTATAACTTTGTGGTTGTACCGTGTGGGAGATATCTGACACTATGTAGACAACCGACACAGGCCTGGAGTGTAATTTATAGAAGGTCATTACATTCTAGATTGTAATTATAAAAATGATGTGAGAATCTATTCTGTGTTATTTTTGTTATTTTAGCAACTCGTTTAAGTATGGTATTTGTGAAACCAGCAGCAGGCACATGTTGGCTCTATTATAAGCCCTCTTACATCTCATTCAGCAGATGAACAGGCAACGAACGGCACTTGAAATAACACTTGGTTTTGCCAAATATTTATTTAGAAGCCAAGTTTTAAAGAAAAACTCTCTCCCAGAAATGCACTGCAAAGAAATGTCAGGAAATTGCGGCCACTGCCCTCTGTCCTCTCATATGCGTCCGTGCCCCTTTTCCTTCACTGGTTTTTATGTCTGACACATTTTCTGGCATTTAGAAACTGCTAGCTGAAATTCAAATGAGCTGAGGAAATTATTTTGAAACCGGGTCTGGGTCATTGTGGCCATGCATAGGTCTGCTCAAGTCTGCAATGCTGCAAAGCCAAGCATCAACACTGCTCTGTCTGCTGACTTCCCCATTAATAACCTCAAGTCAGTCCAACCGGCTGCGGCCAGAGGCACAACCACTCGTGCCGTCTAAGGATCCTTTGAAAAATATTGGCTTATTCATAGATACATCCCAGTGAGTCTGATGTTGGAGTCCAGCCTTGAATTTATGACAAGCCACAATAACCAACCACGAGCTGCTGAATTATGGCTCTTGTTGATCTGTCAGATGTATTAGGGTCCGACTGCCAGCCAAAGTTGGTCCAAAAAAAGGATTTTTTTTTCTCTCTGAATGGTTTGGGAAGTTCAGAAATAATAAAAAAGCAAATGTCACGAAGGTATTGCACGATTGTTTCCAAGTTTACTAACTACTTCACGGTTTATCCAGAGACAGTACATGGTTTATTACTTTATGACATAGAAATACATTGTGTTTATTCTCCTCGTTGGATTTTGTTTAGGTCATTTTTAATAATAATAATAATAATGAAGCTGAAGTGAAACTGCTGTTCCTCTAAGTCCTGATAGACACTGTGAGGTAGCATAACATAAGCAGCAAGGAAAGTGATAGGAAGACAGCATCTGCAGACTGTTCAAGTTTCTTTTAAGTGTTCTTTATTTTCTGGCGTCACCTTTCAACAATTGTTTCGCAAAACATAAGACCCTCACAGTCAAAATCTCACCTGCTTTATACAGAATTTTACCCACAGCTGAAACTCATTAATCTCTACCGTTGAGAAAACAGGGTAGACTAAATAACACAGTCTAGACAAAGAAACAGGAATAAGATCATTCTTCCACTTAACAAACTCATTCACCCAACTAAACGGATTGAAAAGTCAATCTCGTCACAAAATCCGACTCATGAGGTAATTTTAAAGGAAATTAACAATTTGACACAAAAGAAACATCCCTTCATTTGGTTACACTCAACTGACATGATCAATGCATCATATCCTATATAAACAGGAAGTAACGGGGCGGCCTTTCCCATATACCAGTTTTACACATAAGACCTGCACAAAGGAACACACAATGGTACGTACAACCAAACTACATAAACAAATGAAAGATTCAAATCAACTAATAATTAAGTGGCATTTAGCTTTAAGAACATTTGCACAGATGTAATGAATGTAACCAATGCTATCCTAAACAGACCCGGGATAGTATGCAGAGCCAAGGTTACATGTGCTGTGTCTACACTAAAGCATTATGATTGACTAGAAGATAACAGAAGACATTATAACAATATATACAAGTGACAAATGGTACATGAATTCAGTCCTAGCCACTTTGTCACAGACTCCCATGCTGAAAAGCCAGACTTCAGCAATGAAATTAACACATTTACAAAGTGAGTTGAATGTTTTTATAACTCACTCACTTGAATTTCATTAAGGATAAACGGCATGTGGAAGTAGCTGGACCTTTCTATTGTGTTTGTGCTGTTTCATAATAAATAATCTGACAAATAATAAGGTCTGCTGAGCAGCACAAACCATCCAAGAAGTTTGTGTTTCAGTTTTTAGTGAAATGCTGAAGCTTTACTAAGCTGTTGTGCCGTTTGTGCACCCATACAGTTTACAGATGACAGCAAACAATATAGATACACATGACAATCTCAATATTATGCCGTGTGTAAAATATTGCAATACATTAAATCATAACCGTTTACAATTTTGCACCATCAGATTGTTATGAACTCACGGGCTAAGTGAGGAAATACAGTATATTAGATGTTTGGCACGCTGGCGTCCACTTTAAACTGTAAAGTGGGGATAATTTGTCAGGCAAGAAAGTTGAAAGGAGGATAGGTAGCAGATAGACTCAGCTGTAGGCAGCTTCCTTCCCCTCAAATCTACAGAGGCACTTGTTGTTTCAGCAAACTGACTGGTTCTCCCCAAATGACACAGTTATTTCATTCCATTCTCCAATTCGAACTCTTATACTCCCTCCCTTTGTCTGAAATTGCCCACAGAAAATGAGACTAATAATTCATTTTCGACAGCCCAGAGCAGCAAGCGATGCTTAAGTCTTTATGCCATTTACCGCTGGAGCTGCAATTTGAACAAATCCTTTTGCTGCCGAACTGCAAGCTGCACATTCTCTCCACATCCTCACAGTGTCAGACCCAATGTGATGGTTTCTGTGCGTGTATGTGCATAAAAATTACTTAATTATTATTAAGTGGTAACTTTGTAACAATGTATCAACAGGATTCTCAGTAGTTCTCCCATTAAGCAGTTTAATTTAGAAAACGGACACAGACATCATTAAAGTTACGTTTGAAATGTCTTGTGTATATTCATTCATGATTGTGGGTAATGTAGTAAATATTCTTACACTTCCCTTCACTTTTTCAGATAAGAAGAAAAAAAAAATCACACTAACTGAAAGTAGCCAAAGGAAGGCTATTATGTCACTATTGGTAGCACAGCTCTGTTTGGAGACCTCTATAAATATACATAGGAGGCACAAGATGTGGAGGGCAGAACAAAGCGGTATTAATAGTCAGATACACCATGAAATAAGTTGCTGGAGGTGAGTTACAAAGCAACTTGCAGATACACATCAAGTTGTCACAGCAGGAAAAAACAATTTACCTGAACATCGCACTGAATTAAGGTCAGCTAGATAACGTGCCATTGCACTGCAATAATACAAACATGCTACTCATCTTTGTGGATTATGCTGCTCAAGTATAGTTAAGTCACTATAAATTAAGGGTTTCAGAAATCAACACTCTCACCGACTAAAAAACACACTCTGTACCACAGTAAAACACTCATTAAGACAGAGAGAAGATGCATGAAAAGATGATTTTTAGGACTTACTCACCGTGGATAGGGTTGTGTCCCACTGTTAGGGGGATAGGCCTTTCAGGCTGGGTCTGGATGTGAGTCTGTGTGTGAGTGGTGTGCCTTTGGTAGTATTTGGGCTTTATAATATACTGCTGGCTCTGACCAGGGTGAACTGGCACAGGTCGAATTCTGAAGGAAAAGCAGAGCACAATCAAATGCAAGAAACAAATCAAATACAAAAAACACATTACAAAGACATGCATACACTAAAAATGACACTTTCATGTCTTTTGGATCAATATCAATTTTATATGTGAACAAGTCAGTTTTAATCATGCTCATAGCACTTTGTAGTTAACAGGAAAATGCCCCAACACTTTAAATCTGTGTTCACAGTAAGCGATTTCCTGTGACAGCTCACAGAAACCAGCTGCTGTCACAAAAGGGACTGGGATGCTGCCACCAGTGTCTGAAGGTTTTGGCCCATAGAGAGCACTGCAGCCTCATCTCTCTGCCCTCTGTGATTCACTGTGCATTGACCCTTTGGAAAATGTGATCTTTTCCCAACACTAAAATCTTCTGCTTCTTTGTAAAAAGAAATCTTCTTACCACTTCCTGAAATTATCACTTTGGTTTTAGGAGGTGATAATATTTAAGAGCATCTCTCTCATGACAAATTCTTTGAGTTCCTCCAGAACAGCATCATCCCCCATCGCTTCCACTTACTACCCTTTCCCTTTTCATCAGCCTTGTCCTCAAACCACTGAGATTAAAGCTTTTTTAATTCTGCTCAATGGACAGGTCGACGCTGCAGAGAATACGTCCCAAGGATGTGTCCTCTTAAGTACAGGGCAGTCAACTTGATTTCACTGACAAATGAAACAATTTTCCCCAGGAGTTGAACCCGTAGGACTATTATGATACCCTGACTGCACTATTAAGTGCAATTACTGGTTATGGGAAATATCCCTACAATTTAAGTACTGATTGCAGTTAATTTTGGTTAACACATTTTCTACAGGATCAACTGAGATGACACTCCGACTGTTCGTAAAGCACCATCATCAAGTTAAATTTTCTTCTAGTTAGTATCTCTGAGTGGATCAGCTCTACCCCCTCTGTGTCAGGGAGTCACCAAGACATTTATCAAATGTTAAGCCAAAGCAATGCAAGCAGACATGCACTAATCTTTTCCTCTTTTACAGCTCCATAAAGAATGTATACTTTATACTTTAAATCTCAGGGCCCTGTGGTATGGTGAACTCTTTTTAAGCCTTGTACTTAATAATAATAAAATAGAGATGGATCAAACTCTCACCACACTGACTAGCTGTCATATATGATTCCAGCTGAAAAAGTTGAAAAACATACAGGAACAGAGGTTTTCTGCAGATGATTATGAACATGTCCTAATACTATGGTGTGAGATACTGACTATTTACAATTTTTTCCACCTTGAAAGTAAGATTTCACAGTTTTTATATTAACAAAATACAACTGAAACAAAAACAATTCTAAAAGTGCTATTTTATACTATGCTATACTTCTCACCCAGAGCAGAGGCCCTGGTGGATCGATCCCCAGCTACCAAGCATCCGATTCATTCCAGTAAACCGGATTCACAGATTTGTTGACTTAACTGCAGGTTATCGCTGAGGGTGGCTGATTAGTGGCCAAAAAAATCAAAGTAAATTGTGATGCAAGCTAGAATCTTCAGAATATTTTTGGAATATTATTTACTTTCCAGACAACATATTGTAAATGAATGAGACAGACTGGAACCTAAAGCGATTTAGTGTCTGGGATCACCCAGCATTCAGTCTATTGTACAGCTCTGGGATCCTGCCATGAAACAGTATTGTAAGGGCACTGTAAGCAAGTTCAAGTAAAAAAATAATACATCACAAAACACTAAATGCACCTATTGGTGCTAAAGTACAGGGTGATATTAGTGATATTAAAGCCCTGTTTGTGGCACATTAGTATATGTGAGGGGGCAAACTCCTCAAGATGGGTGGTAACCATGGTGACCATTTAGAAGTCGGCCATCTTGGATACAACTTTTGTTTTTTCAATAGGAAGAGGGCCATGTGACACATCAAACTTATTGGTAATGTCACAAGAAAAACAATGGTGTGCTTGGTTTCAACGTAACTTTATTCTTTCATGAGTTATTTACAAGTTTCTCTTTGTTCACAGCCATTGACATGTCGAAGAGGTTAACATGTGAGGAGCGGATCGAAATTGTGTTGATATCTGGTGAACGCAGTAACCGGGTCATTGCAGAAGATTTCAATGCAAGACACCCTACGAGACCACCCATCTCCAATGCTACAGTTAACAAACTGCTTGCTAAGTTTCGTGAAACTGGTTCAGTGTTGGATTTGCCAAAATGTGGATGCAAGAAAACTGTCACTAATGAAGAAACATCAGTGGCTGTCCTAGCTTCATTCAGCAAGCGCCCACAGCGTAGCACTCGCCGCATGTCGCTGGAGACTGGCATTAGTCGACCATCCCTTAGGCAGATATTAGATACTCACAAATGGCAGCCTTACAAACTCCAGCTACTGCAGCATCTCAACGAGGATGACCCAGATCGGCGCACAGAATTTGCAGAATGGGCAAAACAAAAATTGGAACAGGACCCTCAGTTCACGCAGAAGACTTTGTTCAGTGATGAGGCAAACTTTTATGTGAATGGTGAAGTTAACAAACAAAACCACCGCTATTGGTCTGACACTAACCCACATTGGATGGATCCCTCCAAGACAGTTGGAACAACAAAAGTGATGGTTTGGTGTGGTATATGGGGTACAACGATAGTGGGTCCAATCTTCATCAATGGAAACCTCAAGGCCACTGCATATTTGAAATTTTGATGCATTCTCAATCATCCAGGAAAGTAAATCTCCAAAAGTTGAATCTCTTCATCTGGACGTAGTGTTTTTGTGGGAGAAACGTTTCGTCACTCATTCAAGTGACTTCTTCAGTCTCAGCTGACTGCAGGTTTCCCCAATCTTATAAACAGTACATTTGCATAATGACTGAAACCAGCCCACTGAAGGAACAATGGGCTGGGAGGTCAGTTCCTTAATCTTAATTATGCAAATTCTCATGACCTTTGATCAACAACCACTGACCAAAACCCACTGACCAATGGCCATGAGTACCATTCACAGAGTTGGGGAATGGCTGCAATCACAGCATTGTAAGATGGCGAAAGATGTACCCTTAAGCCCCCTCCTCGATTCAGAGATGGTCTTTCCCTTTCCACGTAAATGGCCTCCTTGACTCCGCACTCAAACCAGCGTTCCTCCCTGTCCAGGATGTGTACATCCTCATCTTTGAAAGAGTGTCCACTGGCCTGTAGGTGTGAATAGACTGCAGAGTCCTGGCCCGACGAGGTAGCTCTTCTGTCTTGTGCCATCCGCTTCGCCAGAGGTTGTTTGTTTTCCCCCGATGTATAAATCCTGGCAATCCTCCTGCACTTAACATCGTACACTATGTTACTCTGTTTGTGTCGGGGGACCCGATACTTGGGGTGAATCAATTTTGGGCACAGTCTGTTTTGGGGTTTAAAAGCCACAGAGACACAGTGTTTAGAAAAAATGTGTCTCAACTGCTCCGATACTCCTGACACATATGGGATCACTACAGGTTTTCGCTTGGGCAGCGGTTGTCCTTCTCTCCTGGATCAGCTGGAGCTTTCTTTAGGTGCCTTTCCAGTTTTGACAAAAGTCCACCTGGGATAACCAGATTTACTCAGGGCCTTCTTGATGTGCAGTTCTTCTGCCTCCCTGGCCGCTGTGTCAGTGGGGATGGTGTTCGCTCTGTGTTGTAGCGTCCTGACGACATACACAGCAGCTGCTTTCCATCTACATAACCATGAACTGAAACAGCAGGTCAATCTGCCTGTCTTTAAGCAGTAACTGAGAAGAGGTACATTTTACGTTAAATTTAATCATTTGAATTAAGGATACTGTCTTGAACATTGGGTCGTTTTACACCGTAATTCATATCAATATTAGCCCTTAGTATTTGAATACTAAATTTAACACTTATTAGACTGGATATAAGCTGGCTGTCTTGACACACTGTGATTGTAGTGTTTGTGTATTCCTTCAGCACATAAAAATAGTACATCTATTGGAGCTCCCAAATGCTGGCACAGAACTATGGTAAAAATAAAGTCGGTATGAATATAGCTTAGGGCACTGATCATTGTTTGGTCAGCTGTCAGTGATCAGAGGCACTAGGCATCCTCTACATCCTTTATTATTAAAAACAATGGTGTGAATGCTCGTGTACTCCAGGCTGATACACTGTACTTCCCATTCTTTATCTTCTCAATTGACCAAACTTCACGCCGTCAACCATGTTTACTGCTTAATGAAACAAATAAATGCCTGAGCTACATTCAGACAAATGGGACATGTGCTCTTAATTGCCATCTTTTAGTCCGACATTTCGGAAGATTAGCAGCTTAGCTCAACGTTGTTACAGAGATCAATGTTTGAGATCTCAAAAAAGACAGATTGGAAGGCTGCAGATTTGAACATGAGGACTTTCTGGTGTTAACAACATATAAAAAGAGGAATAATGATTATTTCTTTTCCACATGCATTCTTGCCGCAACCAAGTCACAAGAAACTGCCCCTGTCCAGAAAATCATCTCACACACTTCCATATCGAGCATTGGCTTAAAGTGGCTGAGTGCATCAGCATTTTTTTAGTCATGTTTGAAATGCCATGAAGTCTGGAGTTTTGACTTAATTTTGTAAAGTAATCAGATGTTTTATCTCTAGAAGTCTTTCAAGTTGCCCGTACAACCATTAAGATTAGTAGTCTTCTGGAGGTACTGGTCCGTGTGTGTGGGCTACCATCAACTACTGTAGCCAACCTTTACATGGAGGAGGTGGAAAGACACGCTCTTTGCTCTTTTAAAGGGACAGTACCTAGCCACATGTTGATGACACTTGGGTCAAAATCAAAACCCAAGAAGTAGAAGCCTACACTGCTCACATCAACTCTATGGATAAAAACATAAAGTTCACCAGGGAAGACACAAAGGATAACAGTTTGCCATTCCTGGACTGTGCCATGCGTATTCAAGAGAATGGAACCTAAACATTGAAGTTTACCGGAAGCCCCACACACACAGGGACCACCACCCTCTGGAACACAAACAT